TTCACCAAAGTACTCTTTGTTGCCACAGTTCTTGTATCGTTCCTCTTGATTGTACTGAAGGGTTTTGATGGCCCATGGTATGGATTTTTCTTCAGATTTGTGCTACTTTTCTCTTATATCGTCCCAATCAGGTGAGTTGTTAATAGTTTTAAGATATTTTATTTAAAAAATGCGTTCCTAACTATTTACAAAAAATACATACATCATCAACATACAGACATCTATAAATTCACAATGGCCATCCTAAATTGATGTTTTTGTATGTCCATTTTTGCAAAAAGTGTTTAATTGAAATTGTATTAAAAAGCCAGAGCTTTATCTTAAAAGGAAGAAAATTCTTCAGAAGTAGAATTTGTATGGCTACTAACATTAAACAAATAATTCCATTTACTTACTGTATTTTGTACTGTCCATAAAGAGTCAAAAGTTATTTTATTCATTAGAGGAAAACCCGCAGTCATATTTAATTTAATCATTACCTCTTAAAACAAATTAATAAGAAGAAATCTATTGAGATCCAATAAGAAATGTACTGAGATATCCTAATGTCTGAATACTTATGTTTATCATAGCTTCATAAATATGTAAATTGCACTTAAGGGGGCATTCTGAGTTAGGTACTGAACATCCTATAACACAAAGTGGTTTTTGTTTTTTGAAAGTGCTTTTGTTGTGGCTTAGTACATCGGGTCTTTCAAAATACATGATCTTTGTCGACAGCTTGAGAGTCAACCTCGAAATGGGTAAAGCGTTCTACTCGTGGACGATACAACGCGACAAGCGAATTGAAGGCACGGTTATGCGGTCGACTACAATACCAGAGGAGCTCGGCAGAATACAATACCTGCTGGCTGACAAAACGGGCACGCTTACTAAGAACGAGATGGTGTTCCAGAAACTTCATCTGGGAAATGCACTCTTCGACAGAAACAATTTCCATGAGGTAATCAATCGACCTCCCACACACTTACCTCCTAGTGGGGAGTCGTCCTACACTACAATGAGAAATTCGATGCTTCCATTCGAGAACCTTCCTTCCCTATCAGTTATCGGTTCTTACGGTTATATGGCCGGCAGATTGCCATTTCAGCTTACTAAACCTCAGAGCTATGTTGGTTACTTTTGTCGTACTGAGGGTTGACAACGCAACTTCTCGTGTGCTATCAGGTGAACGATCTACTAATGCTCTCTTAAACTTGCAGATAGAAGCATTCCTTACCCAATTCGTGACGAACGACGCCCCGTCGCTGCCAACGTCCCCTAGCGGCCAACAGGGGGAGGTGTTGGCACCGACACCGCGCCAGATATGGGAAGTGGTGCTGGCAATAGCGCTCTGCCACAACGTGACGCCGGTCTACGACATCGAAGACCAGAGAGCTGACGAGGCGCAATCCGGTAATAACTAGTTTTTACTAGCTGCTTGCTTTCTTATTGTTGAAAAAAATTAGATAATAAGTACGAAGGGTTTCCTGGCGGTTCTTCTCTGGACAGGTACAGTTTAGTGAACCGGTGGAAGTTTTTTGACGTTCAATAAGAGCTTAAAATAAGCCTATATTGAATAAAAAAAATTGACTGACTTGGTCGAAGCTAAGAAACACGTAGAGTAATCACTTACATTTTTCAGAAGCATTACAGTACAAATCGTATAACATCATTTGATCCAAAAGTAAGACAAGCATAACTTATTTAATGGAACAAAAAATCCGACTGCATTTTTTTTCTAACGCCGTATTGATATAATATGTGTGCGGACAAATTACACAAATTCATAAATGCATAATCCACCTTCGGCAGTCGGGTAAATAGCACATCTTTCGAGACTAAAAATATTTACTCTAAATAATGTTTCAAACACATTTATCTTAATAATCGTCATTGTAAAAGAAAAGTATTTATCCCTTCCAAATGCACTTAAATTTTTAATAGTAATGAGTTTAACCACGGCTGAGTTTTGAGCAACATCAAGTTTCGACTACGATCCAACTATTTGAGCTTTAATCTCTTTTTTAAACCCTTGCATAAAATTTTGACCAACATCGAGTTTCGACCACGATTCAGAAGTTTCCGCTTTTATCTCGAATTTTAACCATGGCTGAGTTTTGACAAACATCGAGTTTCGACGACGATCCAAGCATTTGAGCTTTTATCTCGTTTTTAACACCATGGTTAAAGTATGCAATACAATAAACTTTATTCAGAAGAAGCCTCATTACATTTAAATTTATTTCTGACCCCCCACACTAGGCAATGCCTGTCCTATGGGGGTTATGTTAATAAAACTTTAACCAACATCGACTTTGAGCGCTCATCTCGACTTACAGACATGGGGAGCTCGATGATGTCGGAGAGCTGCGGCGGTGCGGTGCCCCAGCAGCAGCTCTGCGACTACCAGGCGGCCAGCCCCGACGAGGTGGCCCTCGTCAAGTGGACGGACATGGTGGGAACTAATTGTGGCATTAGCGGTGTTCGCAACGGTTATTGTCGGAAAAATGGTCTTTTGAAATTTAAATCAGTATTTTGTCATCTTAATCATTTTTATCTTTATATATATATAATTCTTCGTTCGTGTGTATATCACTGAATTCCTCCTAAACGCCTGGACCGATTTTAATGAAATTTTTTGTGTCTTCAGGTCCGATTCGAGAATGGTTTAGATTCTCAATTTTTTTTAAGTTGTCGGATTTAAATCGTGTGTATAGGACAAAGTCTGTCCGGTCCGCTAGTAAATTACTCGTTAGTTCTCACGTCTGCTTTATATTTTTGGTGCTAATCTGCAAACAAAAATTTAAATATGTTCGATAGTTAAATTGTCAAAATGTTTTACGGCACTGCGGGGCTCGAACATGCGTTCTTCTTGCACGCTCAGACTGTTAATCCAATGAACGAATAATAGTAACAGCCTATAAATGTCCCTATAAACAGGGTATCAGGGCATAGTCCACCACGCGACTACATTGCGGATTGGCGGACTTCACATATCTTCGAATATTTTTATTTTTGTTATTATTTCATAAATATACAGATTTCCTCACGATGTTCCTTCACCGCTGCACCATTTATGACCATAGAGTAAACCTACAGTCAAACAGTCTGTCATTGTTGTTAAAACATTTTGTTTATTAAGTTTTCTATGTTAATAACTTTTTTTTACAATTTTCTTTCAGATGGGAGTGTCGCTGTATAGGAGAGATCTGCACAATATATCTCTGAAGCTGCGTGCGGCTAATGAGATAATGCAATTCAACATACTGCAGGTTTTCCCCTTTACCAGCGAGAGTAAAATGATGGGCATTATAGTGCAGGTATTTTGTCTATCAAACACTTTCTCTTGATTTATTTTGTATTTCTTCGTGAGAATTTATTTTATTAAAAGGATAACCGATGGGGAAGAAAGGTTCTTGAGTGGCATCCTTGTACTAGCCATCGCAGTGTAGGAAACCCCCACTAGATGGAGTGATAAATGTGCGCGAAGTCGATGGATCCAGGGTGCTTAAAATCGTACTTCAGTTAAAATCGTTCAGCAGTGGACTCAATCCGGCTGAAGTGATGATGATGATGAAAAGGTGGCAACGCATTTGCAACCCTACGGGTGTTGCAATTGTCAATGGACGGCGGTCGTCACTCATCATCGGGTGAACCTCCAGCTTGCTTCATATATGAAAATATTTCGTAAACCTATACAATTTTTTTTATATTTCTTATTTGCTTTCATTAATCAATGTACGTCTTTTTAGGAAGAGAACACGGGCGCCATAACCTATTACGTGAAAGGCGCGGATGTGGCCCTGTCGAAACTTCTGCACTCCTCGTGGCTGAGCACCGAATGCAACAAGCTGGCGGCCGATGGCCTCAGAACGCTCGTTGTAGCCAAGAAGACCATGTCCAAGAATGAATATCTGGAATTCGAGGTAAGGAAAGACTGATCTCAAAAGAATTAATTTATATACACCATGAATACAAAAAGAAATGTGATTATAAGAGGTTCATCTAAACGAACTTATAACCAACAGATGTATATTCATGTAAGCCCTTTAGTGCCAATATTCAGAATTCATATATGCCCGCCTAAACTAACATAAATTATATCCAACAGTTCCATATTAAAAAAATTGAACAGAGCATTTCTCGCGACTGAACACCGACTTATGTTGCGAGCGAAACAAAGTGCGATGTAGTCTACGGTGCGAAAGAGAGGGCAAAATTTATTACGTTGCCTCTCCCTTAAGCTTTACGTCGATTGCAAAGCGAGTGAAAGAGATGACAATATTGATAGCGTGCTGCATGTAACCCTAGTGATTTTGATTGGAGAGCGAGTGAAAGGGAGGGCAATGTCGATCGCGTGCCGCACGTAACCCTAGTACCGTTGATCGCAGAGCGAGTACAAGGAGGCGCGCCTGAGCGTGACCAACCGCAGCGAGAGGACGGCGGCGGCGCTGGCGCGTCTGCAGCGGGGCCTCGCGCTGCTGGGGCTGACGGGCGTCGAGGACAGGCTGGCGGAGGACGTGCCGCGCACGCTGGCGATGCTGAGGCAGGCCCACGTCAAGGTCGGCTAAGGACGCAGACAGTTGTTTCGCATCTGGCCGCGCCTTAAAGGTCCTTACAACACAGGGTGGTGATACCCTAAAGTAAGGGCCTAGTTTAATAAGAAAAAAAAAAACACGAATGGACACACTCGCCCGCTCCTCATCAAAGAACGAAGTGGTGTGGAAGTGTTAAACTTTCGCATCTGGTGTTTGGAGTGACCGGAGCCCACCATTTTAAAGGTTGTCAGGTATTGTGAAACGCCTGCTGATTCGAAGTTTTCACTTAATAAAAAGCCGAATGAACTGAACCACGAGGTGGCTGATTACTTTGCGATGATCTCAACTCGTGCAGTATACGCTCAAAAATTGGCGGACTCTTCCGTTCCATTAGTTGTGGTGCGAAGGACCTGTTGGTACAGAAGCTTTGCAACTTCAAATGTCTTTAGAATTTTCAAGATAGAAGGATTACACCTACATATTGACTGTCAAAATACTACTACTGGTTCTGAGAGAAAGCCACCGACCTGAAAAGAACCAGCGAAATAAACGCAGCGGGACCATTTTTTGATACAACAAAACAGTACATCTTCTAAATTAGATGAATGTGTAGAATCAAGTGTGTGATGTGACTTTCCAGGTGTGGATGCTGACAGGCGACAAGCTGGAGACGGCGTTATGTATCGCCCGCTCTCTGCAGCTGGGCGGTGGTTCCAGGTGGCTGGTGGCCAGCGAGTGCAGCACGCGGAGGGATGCTCACGCCCTGCTCAACGCCATCGACCGCGCTGAAGACGGCACCGACCTGATCATCGAAGGCGAGACCCTGGAGGTATGCGAAGGAGAACTGTAGTCAGCTCGATTTAATGCATTGATGGTGTCGCTAGATTCCGAATGCGTTAGCAGTTACATGTAATTACAGTTATTGAGTATTAATTAAATGAGACAAAAAACTTATTGGTAAAATAATTTTGTGTATATGGTAGGTCCATATTTAAAAGTAATAAAAAAGTTAATTGCATAAATATCTTTTGTAAGAACATAAACGACAGAGTGGTTAGAGGATAAGAAGACGCACGAATCCTGGCAGACAATTTATCTATTAAACGCACATTCCAAGTTTCATCTTGAGTACATATTAGCATAAATATAAGAAGACAAAAAGAAAGACGGGAACAGACATAACCTTAATAGGCAATTTACAACAAGCTACTGGATGAACAAAGGGGACAGCTCGCTTTTCAGTGGAGACAACAGTTCCGTAGAATCATTTATTGAATACTCACCAGATCCCAAGGCCGTTCCCGATGCCGCTAAACGGTGTACCGTCGGCAGGTGTGTCTGCGGGCGTACGAGGAGGAGTTCGTGGGGGTGCTGCAGCGCTGCGCGGGCGTGGTGGTGGCGCGCTGCTCGCCCACGCAGAAGGCGCGCGTGGCGCGGCTGCTGCGGGCGCGGGGGCACGTGGTCGCCGCGGTCGGCGACGGCGGCAACGACGTAGCGATGATACAGGAGGCCGACATTGGTCAGCGTTTCTCCTCTCTTTCTCTCTCTCTATCTCTCTCTATTGATTGGAGAGCCAATGCTAAAAAGCAACAAGTCTCCCAGCCCCCGGCGACGGACACAGTCTGTTGCTCCTCCTCGTATTCTCCGTGCGCGGGGGTAAGACGAGTCGTGGTATTTGACGGCGCTATGTAATGGCGACTTTCCGTTTCGTCGATGTTGCGTCAGCAAAGCGACACCGCCGATATGAAAAGTTCAAGTGAATAGGACAAAGGGATCCAATCAGAACGACTTCCTTTGATCTACAACGCACCACAAGACGGTCTAGTGTGGGTTCCTCGGGGCTACTAGCTTGTACGCTGCGACTAGGCAGGAACCCGTTGGGGATGCCACTTGATTCTACGCTAACCGCACTCCCACATAATCTACAAGAGTATAAATACTCCTACTTTAGCTAATCAAGAAGCTATTGAGTGGCTCAGAAGGTTGGACCATCCTCTTAAATATAGCAGTACAGTTCGAAAACTTCCTCTCTTTTTGAACCGGTTAAAAGTTTACACGACTTAGGGACCTATAAGACAGCCTTATTATATATATATACCTTATTCCTTCCTTCAAAGGCCGGCTCCTTTGGTGTTGCGAGTGTCTTTGGGCGGCGGTGAACACAAACCATCAGGTTACCTGCCACCCGCCCGCTCCTTAGCCACATTTCCCATAAAAAAATCATAAACGTATCGAACGCGACACCAGGCGTGGGTATAGAGGGCGCGGAGGGGCGAGCCGCTTCGCTGGCGGGCGACGTGAGCGTGCGCGCGTTCGGCGGCGTCGCGCGGCTGCTGCTGGTGCACGGGCGGCGCGCCGTCATGCGCTCCGCCGCGCTCTGCCTCTTCATCGTGCACAGGGGCCTCATTGTGTCCACCATGCAGGTGCTCGCACGCACACGGACACGCGCGAACGCACACACACATTTGTATTTGTGTTTTGTGCGGATGAGTTTCAAGTCCCAACGACCGCTGCCACCTAGAAGATCTACTGTAATCTTCGCAAACAATGCCGCCACATACGCGCACGCACGCACGCATACACACTTGTGTTTTATGTTGATGGGTTTCAAGTTGTAACAACCGCTGCGACCTAGAAGATCTACTGTAGTCTTTCCAGTATGATAACATTAACCTGTGTTTTAAGGACGTTCTACGTATACAAATCTCACAAACGCCCAGATCCGAAAAACTATCTATGGTCACGCTAATACTTGTCTCGTGTGGGAATCGAACCCGAGACTCCCGGTGCCGAAGCCCTAGCTTGCAGAAAATTGATCACTGTTGCAAGGATGGACAAACTTGTCTGGGGAATTGACTCTCTCGTGCGGTCTTTTGATCAGATCAGTGAGGTTACCTGTGGCACTTTAAAAGGTTGGCAATACATCTGCAACCTCAAGAGACTTGTTAGCCAATGGATTGACTTTGTTCACAGCATAGCTATTGAACAGAAGAGTGCTTTTACATACTTTTTAGTTTGTGGTTCGAACAGAAACCTAAAGAAAAAATCCACAGCGAAGTGTAGTCGGGTTCAAGTTAATCATAAAAATTGCGGAATGGTTTCCCCCACAGGCTGTCTTCTCCGTGGTGTTCTACTTCTCGTCGCTGTCGCTCTATCCGGGATTCCTTATGGTCGGCTACGGAACTGTTTTCACTATGCTACCAGTCTTCTCTCTGGTTAGTGTCCATACCATTCAGTATAATTCAAAGTGAATGCATAAAACGTTATGTATACATTTATTAAAAGCAGATCATGTTATATCTCAGGTGCAATATGAAGAGTTTACATTTACTCCAAAAATAAACAACAACAATAACATATTTCTAATCAATGATTTTACAAATGTACCTTATTAACATAGAGTGATAATGTGAGTAACAAATTGCAAAGAAACTCAAGTCATAACATAATAGTGTTGTGAATTTTTTCCTATGGTATCAAACTTGAATAACGGTTATGTTAATTTAAACCGAATTACTAATAGTACCATTGCATTTGTAGTCTGTTTTTCCCAAAGCTAAAAATGACTTTTATTTGCAGGTTCTAGACAAGGACATTCCAAGTACAACGGCTCTTAGATACCCTCAGCTGTATCGGCAGCTTTCCAAAGGGAGGCAGCTATCCTACAAAACGTTTTACATATGGGTCATAATATCAATCTATCAAGGTAAGGAATAGTTTCCATTTTTTAGCGACATTACGCTTATATTATCCTAGCCTGTCTTTTTATATGTATACACATAAGAATTATTAAACTTTCTATTCAATTTTCATTTCTATTCTCTTTAAACAAGCAGGAGACTCAACTAATGTTTCGTGATTACCGCTAATGGAGTTGTTCACTACAATTTTGATCGCTGATTTGATGATACTGATTGATCGAAGATGAATATAAACATCGTAAGGAAATCAGCATATTGTAATATTAATTTAATAAAAAATATTTCGGAGGCGTGTAATTTGCCAAACTGCAGTGGGCTCGCATGGTGGTTAATGCACTTTTTTATTTTAATTTATTTCGCGTATTTAATTTCCACCTACGTCAAATTTTCTCTACTCCCGTCAGGAGGGCTGACTGGTAGGGAATTTGCCGAGAAAATTTTATTGTTAGTACTCCAAAAAAAATTTAAAAAACAAAAACAATAAATTTGAAAATATATAAGTACTCTCTCACCCAAGAGACATTTCATGACGTTTAATGAATGATCAGTTGCTACCATATTGTAGTAGTAATAATTTCTGCCTATTTGAAATATAACTACATCTCATGGCTAAATCTGCGATAGTACTTATACAATGAAGTGATTCCGAGGCGGGCATTTTTTTTTAATGTAAGAAAATAGCAAACCAGCTGGAGGTTCAACTGATGTTAAGTAATAACCGCCGCTCATGGACATTTGCAACACCCGTAGGGTTGCAGATCCGTTGCCACCTTTAAATAAAGTAGGCCACAGCTAACTCGCTCACCAGAAAACGCAGAAGTATGACACCTCCACTTCACGCAGGTCTTCTGTGAGGTCGTGGTGCTTCCCCGGACGGACCTGCCCAATCGTGCAACAGTGAACAATGGTCGTATCACAGTAAAATTTAATTCATTCCAGGCGGTGTGATCATGTATGGGGCATTGGTTCTGTTCGAGGACCAGTTAATCCACATAGTGGAGATCAGCTATACGGCGCTGATCCTCACCGAACTGATCATGGTCGCCCTGACGGTGGTCACCTGGCACCGGCTGATGGTTCTGGCTGAACTCCTCAGCCTCGCCATGTACACCGCCACCCTGCTCATATTCACCACATACTTTGGTAAGTAGGCCGATTGCAATAATACCGTATAAGATCTCTTTGTCCTGATACAGTTGATAATGTATAGCGCTTGATTGCCCTTTACCCCAGAGCATCTAAAAGGTTATTGTTATATAAGAAGCTGGCAGTGCATCGGTCACCCTCTTCTATAACAATAGACTTCGGGTCTATCGATTTGTTAATTTTTAGTTAAATTGATGAATGAAAAGTGGATCCTGATTACTGTTATCTTTCTATTCAAAAGGTTTAACAACCATTTAGTATTCTTAATTCTTTCTTTGTTTCTAATTCTAAACCAATTATATCGTGTGGTTAAGCATAAAATCTGGTATAATAATAGTTTCAATCTGATTATAAAAATGTTCAAATTGAAATTATTTATTTGATAACTTTTTATAACCTCTAGTATGTCACAATTTTATCTCGCATCACTTGAGTCCCTCAATACCCCTTGTGATTTAATATACAGCGTGTCGTTACCATCTACGTCACACGTCTAACGCTACTTGCCAATAATCATAAAAAAATATTAACGTTAAACAAAATCCATAATTAAAAAAAAATATTTTTCAAACAAACTAATTAAGTAAAAAAGAAACAAAATTTGTAACATCCTATACAACTCGCGCCACAGCGTCGTATTACAAGCCTCTCCTTCTAACAGTATGTTTTGTCTCTTTTAAATTCATTCAACCCATTCATATGATTTGTGACCTTTACAAATGAACTTTACGTTACGCTTTTATAGGTAAGGGTGTTCTAAAATTCTTTGTTTTGGAATATTTAACAACTCTGTAAATATTGATGTTTAAAGAATTTAAATGTTTAATACAACTTTAAAAAGTTATCCTCTATATGTGTGTTCATTTATTGTCGCGATGGTAACGACACGCTGTATAGCCCTATTTTCTCGCAGACGGAGATTTCATCCGACATTGGGACTTCTGGTGGAAGGTGACGACAATAACACTGGTTTCGTGCATGCCGCTATACATCGTCAAACACATGCACCGGAAGTGGAGAGACCGCCAGTACAAAAATTTACGAAAATAACATCTAATGCCTGCGTACAAAGTTGCATATTGGAAAACACCTTATAGACATATGACATAATATTTCTTTAAACGAAAACACGAAACGTGATGTATAGCTAAAAGCACAGAACTGTTATTCATATTTTATCTGCACTTTCTGTACATGTTTTGTGATACTGTTTTCACATATTACTTGTCTGTGACTTTTTTTTATTTATATGAAATTAACGTAATATATATGGTCTGACGTAAAATTTCATCACTCTTATTATAAAAACTTTATCTTTTTTAAGCTTAACAACTTTATGATTTTTCTATTGGAACTCTTAAATATAGATAATTTTTCTCTGATATATAAAACAAATCATAAGCCTTCAAACACTATGCAAAGGTACAAATCTTCAAATTTTGTATTTTTCGTTCATTGAAACTTCAATTGACTTAAAACCATATCCTTTAGATAATTCATCATCCATACTACACCTGTAGAATCATTTGGATTCTATTTGAATGAATATCAAAGAATAATTCTTAGGTAACTGTCTAAACGAGAGCATGAACTTGATCATTTTAGATCACTTACATTCCTTCCCTCAATTAATTTGTTTAAAACTAATTATTACTACTTATTTTTATTTAAATTCCCTGTAATGACTTAAGCAGTACCTTCTATTTTAAATTTTATACTGTTAATAGTTAATTGATCCCATGAATTGGTGTAGATATATAGATGATTATTTTATCATATTCACTTGTTGCTAGCATAATTATTAGTTATTAGGAACTGATTGGATCTAGGAACCAATTGGTTATTCTAAATGATTTGTTGGTAGATGTTTGTGTTTGTTCCCCGTCAAAAGCAATATGAGCAATTGTGCCTTCATTTCCTAGGTGCATGGGGGACATGTTGTGGGTCGATTTTACATAAGAAGTTTGAACCGGCCACAAATTAAGAATGGGGTAGATAGACAGCTGCGAAGTTTATTAGTCTTGCAAGTAAAGAAATGGAATCTTATATCATCTAAAATGCCAGCAAACAGAATATGAATGACGATAAGATATTGTATATTATAGTATTACAATGTTTGCATAGTATTTTATTACATGTATTATATTTTGTATATTTATTTGTTTGTTATGATATGAAAAAGTTTTACAAAAATCAATAATTATATACTTATTAGTATAGGAATCACCCTCCGTATCTGAAGGACGTTTTGATTGACATTTAACTGTATATTTGAAATAGTTCTGACTTGACAATGATCAGTAGATGATAAAAACATAAAATACTTATTCGAAAATTTTATGTCTTATCACAATTTTACAACTTTCTATTATTTTTATAACAGTAAGAATAAAACAGCAGTTATATTGTTACTATTCAGATTCGTATGATTGCTCTTAGCAATGTAAGCACTATTCCGCACCTTGATTTCCGTATTATTTATGAAATGGAATGTACGATGAGAAAATGTCATAAGCAAGGTACAAATTTGGTTATGTTGTGATATCAATATTTATTTGTTAGTATATTCATATGTTGACACTTGATTATGGGAGGGAAATGTGTACCTTTACCAATGTGATTGTTCATTATTTAGTATTATATTTTAAGGATGTTTGTATTTGAAAAAAATAATCGTAATAAATAAATGGTGGTAATGGTGCTTTCTTATTAATTCAATTGAACTCCGTTGTCCTTATTAAAAATTGATATATGTAACGCCTTTGTATATTATCCCTCCTTACGTGCTTAAGGCATACATATAAGTTCTCTTCCCCCTTCTTATTCCAAATTGGACTGACAAAGTTCAACCTTAAAATTTGTAAACGGCGCTGCTGGAATCGAACCCACGTATTCTGGAATCGCACCCAGAGTCTCAACCGCTAAGCTTAACTGCAGATTGCCACATTAAAGGAAATCGATCTTTTGAATTCGATCAATGTTTTAATTTTTGTTTTATTTCTGTTTTTCGTAATTTTGTATAGTTAGGCCAATAGTTTATAAATCTATTATAATAATTAAGGCTCACAAGCAAATAAGGTGTCGTTCGAATACCTTGTAATTACTAGAAATAATATTTATCATACAAATTAAATACATCTTAAAGAGCAACACAATCCATCTTAGATAATATTATTCGTAATGTAAAACCTATTCATAAAAGCTACGTTACTAACGTGAAAGATGCTTCGAAGGGGGCGTGATGAAGGAGTTTACGTCCATCTCCGTACCGGAAGTCGCGGACTTCGCTTGCGACGCTTTGGAGGCGATGCGACGTGCCCACGCGAGGTCACGCGAATTCTTCGTTTTCCTACAGCGCGATTTGAAACTGCCTGAAGTGATTGACTGCTCCGATGTGGTGGTGGCAGACCAAGCGGAGCCCGTGTCTCGGTGCTCGTTGCAATAGGTTATCGCCGAATGCGAGTTGGTGCTAGTGGAGTACATTTGTGATCGTCTCACGTTCGGACTCTTGTCTATTTTTAATTCGGATATCGACGTCTCGATCTCCGGCGGACTAGCGTCCCTGGCGGATGCCGCGGCGGCGTTCCTTCCGGTCACTTGGCCCTCGAGCCGTTTCGATCGATCGGATTCCGCATCGCTAGTTTCCTGGTTATCGCTCATTATAACCGCCATCAATTTCTCAGTGTTCTCGTGGAGATCATAAACCCTTTGCGTTTGCATTGAGCGCAGCGAGCAGGTTTTCGCACCGATACGGGTTCGCTTCGTACGGGCGCGATCGCTGTACAGTATGGAGCTGTGGTGTGCTGGCAAAGCAGCGGGATAGGTGGATTTCATCGTTGCATACGGTCTCTTCATCGTTGCATAAGGTCTCTTCATCGTTGCATACGATCTCTGTTCACATCCCGGGTCCGGATACATGTGGTCATCGTCGCTTACACAACGACACCCTCTCACCTTTCCGAACACGAGACTGTAACAGATCTGCGACAGGCATATGACGAAAGCGGCAAACGAGACCATCATGATGTACATCATTGGAGTCCAATCTGGGTCGACATATATGTACGTGTCGGCGAGTGTCCTCCATGGGTGCCACCTGGAAAAGACTTGCTCCTCATCCTCCAACAGATTGCGTCGAGCCAGACCTTTACCGTAGCTCTGGACCGCGGCGGCAATCCGTAAGATGCCTCCGTAAGCCGAATACAGCTTTTCGTCGGCAAGGTGTGGAGCGACGCTCCTCTTCATCCAATGCCACAATTCGTTATTGAAATTTAAAAAATCGTCGTGCCGACACCGTTCCGGTGAATTACGCAATATGCATCGTGCGGCAGTAGTGTAGTACCTAAGCAATACGTTTTCAGATGCAGGCGATAATAAACTTACCAGCCCTCCGGATTTAAAAGGTAGGGCAATCGCTGAGGGCTCAATGTTGTCGTCTAATTTTGGCACCGGCAAATGAATACAAGAATTTGTGTCTCTCTTTATGACCAAACCCGAACACGGGTTTAAAAGTTTACCGTAGCCAATGAAAATCTTATAGACGGTCAAATTAGTCCAAGGGGGTATCCTGTCTGGCCGATTCCAACCAATGCCTTGGGTGTTCAAAAATAACTTAATTTGTTCCAAGAAGTCGTGGGCTTCTCTAACATTCCGGTAAGGAACGTATCCGGCATAATACGAAAACCTCGCTGTAGGTAAAATCTCCTTCGTCAAATGTGCGCCTATAGTATCGGCAAGAGCGGCTTTTAATAGAGCTGCAGAATGCTGGTCGGTATCTTTACCGACGTTTCGTAATGCTTGACGAAAATATTTAAGTGCTTCCCTTATATACCTACCGTTTATTTTTTCAGGGCTTGCGTTTGGTGGCATGGCTTGTTCGAAAATTTTTCTTGCACGCAAAGTCGCTAATTCATCGTCACTCCAACACTCATTCTTACCTTTCTTGTTATGAAAAATTGCTGAACCTGCGCGTGACAGTGGGGCACATGTCACGTTAGTTAATATAAATATTATCGTAAGAATATAAATCATAGAGAAATATGTGGTAAATTACGTTTATAAGAAAGCTTCAATATCATTTGTAATAATTTAAATAACAACTAGTAAAATATTTCAAAATTGTTATATATCACTATCATGCAAGCAGGTAATCATATTTATGTCAAAATTAATAATTTTAGTAAATCATAATGTCACTCTATTAGTTATAGTTAATTTTAAACCTTTTGATATAATAGATATAAAGTATACAATATAATACCAATAGTAAAATACGTCACCTCGTCTCACGTATAATCTAGACAGCTGTTAACTCTTTTACACAAGAGCTGTATCACATATTTTTATTCACAAATATTTTAACTTCGATAAAGTATGGTGAATGCAGAGACACCGTAGATCCGATGTAGTTTTATTTTATATAGCATCAATTTAATTAATTGACTACCCATTGAATTACTAACCTATGAGCCATTCTAATTTTTGTTTTGTGAAATGTAGTACGCTGTTAGCCCAGGGGCTTCAACAGCTACGCCGCAAGAAAACCATAAGTCCACAACCCATGGACTCTCAAAAAACAACGAAGCTGGTGCACGACGACTGTCGTCGTCGATTACCTATTCCAGTCAGACAAAAGCTGCCGATAGAGCCGAGTTCCGACCTTAGTGAGCTTATTCACCCATTACTCGAAGTTCAGGCTAGGCGCCCTCAGCGCCCGGCCACCTCCAGCCTGACGGATCTGTAAAAGCCTCCCAAGGCCAACAGTGGTTGATCCATACAATAGACATGTTTTTTGCCGTTTTTATATATCATGGAACGGAAGCCTTCATGCGCGAGTCTGACTTGCACTTGGCTGGTTTTTAATTATCAGTACCAAATACCAGCACGCCACACGGCATAAATATTTCAAAAATACCTTGCACACACGCATATCGATATCGTTGTAGGCAGTGAATCAAGGACTTCGTATTCGCCAACGAACGCTGGTTATTTTCTACTTTGAACATAAACTGCTAAAGATTTGTATTAACTGATGTTTTTGCTTTCAGTCCCGAGACTATTAAAGCTTCATCTGACTCAGAACCTGTGGGCTAACCAGAACCCACGGGTTTGGGCCCTCCGCTGTGAGAAGGGCCACGCATGTGCTCTAAGGGCCATCGAGGTCACGGTTTGGACCGTAACCCGATGGCCTGATGGCCGGCGACTGTGCAATTAGCTAATCGGTGGCTGGGAGCAGTGAGAACCGCCCCGGGTGTACCTTGTGTACGCGTTGTGTTGGTCTCGCCGTGCTCGGAGGCGAGGGCGAACTAGTGTGTTTGTTGTTGCACTAACTGTGGGTGTAGTGTTATCCAGCGGGACCTCCGGCGGTGGGTCCGACGTATCTAAGTCCTCTTCCTCGACCGGGTCGATGAGGATGTTTCGCGGGCGACGCTTGTTGACGTTCGCGTTTGTGTCGGGTTGGTAATTTGCTGCGCTTACCACCAGAGGGTTGGGATGATGTTCGGCTCTATCGAAGAACCAGGTCTTTAAAATATTCGCGAATCGTCGGCAATCGCTGTGCAGGTGGACGTTGCGTTGATACCACTGCGCACCGGTTGCGCGGCGGATGAACTTATTTTGTACTATTTGCAACTTATGCAAGCGAGTAGGGTGCGTGTGGGCGAAGGTCATGCATGCGTAGGACATAATAGGTCATACGCAGGTCTTATATAATAATAATTTGTGTCTTAAGGGCATTTTACTTTTAGCATTAGTTAAATTGTGTAGCCGGCCGGAGACGAACGCGGCTCTATTGCGAACGTTATTAATATGCGTAGTAAATGACATACGCGAGTCGAAAGTGACTCCTAAGTATTTGACCTTTTTCACCTAGGGGAGCAGTTGGCCATAAAGGGATATTTGTCCCAACTTTCTGCATTGGCGAGGGCCATTATAAAGATGTGACGGGTAAGTACTTCTTGTGAAGTGAATCGCCACACTCTTTTCTGGATTTATTTCTATTCTCCATTTGCGGAACCAATCGCCGAGGCGGTCGGCGGCGCTTTGGAGTCGAGTGGTTAGTTGGCTAAAGTTGCGGTCTGAATAAAAGAGCGCCGTGTCATTCGCGAAAAGCGCGAGATTAACGTGTGGGTCTTTATGTATATCGCTCGTGTAGAGCGTAAAGAGCAAAAGTGAAAGGCAGGAGCCTTGTGGTACGCCGGCCGTGAGGCGGCGGCTTGTGGAGAGGGTGCCTTCAACTCGATATCGAAAAGAGCGGTTAGACAGGAAGGCCTGGATGGTGTGTACGAGCCTATCTGGCACTGCTAAAGATTTGTTATATGTGCTTTTAATCTTTGCCTCTCACACGGAGCATTGAAATCGAAACTTGATGGCAATGGCAATAATAGCATCGAGATATGTCTCTACAACTTAGTGTGACCATTTGTGGCAGATTTCTGCTATTTCGGCAGATTTTGCACCTACATATGACAGATTAGGCTGCCGATCCAAAAAAAGTGGCCGAATTTGGCAGATTGCAAGAAAATCTTTATTATTTTTGAAACACATTTGTACATATAAATTAATATTTGTGTTTAGATTGTAACATTGTATTATAATATTCTTTGTCTTATTATTTACTTCTATTATTATTTGATAGCAAAATAAATTTGTGATGTGTCAACTTTCGTCCCATGCTAAGTTTGGTGATTTCCTAATTATTATTTTTAATGTGGGTACGTCATCATATATCATATGGTTATTTCGATACTAAGGTTTATTTAGTTATTAATATAACTGATCGAAGTTCATGTCAATGTCTGTTGTATTTTCTAATTTTCTATTATTTTATATCTTATTCCCTTTTGGCGTTTAATATGTGTAGTTGGGTATTTCGTGCATGATGAAGAGAAAATATGAGCGTTCGTATCGATCTGAGTGGAAAAAAGATCCTTTGCTTCCTACCTGGATTTCGAGACACAATGAGGATCCTGATGTTGCATTTTGCAAAGCTTGTAATTGTAAACTAGTCACAACTACATCAACGTTTGCAGTTGTAAGTTAAAAACAAAATTTTAAACTTACTTTTTAAATATTTAATCACCGCTCTCCACCAGGCGACAGAGCGAAACAAATGGAGACAGCTCGTTAATCAATTGAATATGAGTAACGATTCTCAGCAGTGAGAGGAGGTGAATGCGGAGGTGTCTCCAACGATACAATTTATTTAATATGAGTTGAGTTTGGCAGATTTTTTACTAGTGTAGGGCAGATTCGTCATTTTTGCGTTGGTCACCCTGCTGCATGTCAGTGTCAGTGCAGTCAAATGGAATGTGTGCGTTAAAAAGGATTGTTTTTAAATGTTTAAACTTAGGATCTTAATGTGCAGATGAGTCTACTAGAGTTATTTACTTGACATTTGGTATTAATCTGATATAATTTTGTACCGCGAATGACCGTATTTTCTCGCAGTGTTCTTCAATTTTTTTATTGCAAGAAGAATGTCTAAGGTAAGATTATTTAGCATTGTTTTTGAGGCATCTATATTTGAATAGGTGCCACAAAAAATACGTGAACATTAAGGAAACGAGGTAATTGTCCTAATAAAGATTCCAAGACTAAATAAGCTGGTATTTGCTTTATTATTATTAACATACATTTTATATTTTGTTCCATTATTTAAAAGTTTTGTTGCCAGTGAAATTATTATAATGTATGGTTCAGCATTCCCATTTGTAATAATTATTTGATTTCTTACTAAAGTATCAATAGAGTAAACTAACCATTTTCTTGGTTTGTTTGCAAATGTATAAAAATTATACCCCTGTAATATCCCTTTTCAAACAATTGCTTTCTACCTGGTTATGATCCAGAAAAAAAAAGAAAAGCAATGGTGACAGCCAGAAGCAATATCACAATCATAACTAATTTTGTTATTCAAACATTTCATGTTAAATTTTTAACAATTCATGTTTAATTATCATAAACATATGTATCTAGTACCGTGGTACCATTGTTAAGCTGTTAAATTTAAGTACACTGTTAGTTAGGGGGGGTTAAGGAGGTTCATACCAAGCACTCTAACGCATATTTTTCTGCCGGAGATGCATAAAAAATTTAATTAGCTGTTCTAAAATTTAAAAATCTTACGAAATGTGAAATGGAACATAATTTTGATAAATTTCAGTGTTTTCGAAGACGCGAATAATAAAAAAAAATTAATTGATAGAGAAAAATCAAGGTACAATGTAAGTAATTTAATTTAATCAACAAACAGAATTCTCCGGTCGCATTCAGTTTACGAGAAAAAAAAATTTAATACTTGTTATTTTCACTAAGGAAGTACGCACATTTTATTAATTTTGATAAAAGTGAATACACAGTACTGCCAACATGATAAATATAGGAAGTGGGAGACATCCCTAAGGTTTTATTATTTATAGCTACTTGATCTTAATTTAAAAGAAAGGGCTTTTCATTAATATGTTATCTCATATTTTTGATGTATTGATGATAGGACACACATTGTCTTGGTATAAAACAATAATATTGTTTAAATATATCCATTTGCAGGACATAAGGTTGTACTTTAAATCCAAGACAACAACACGGGATGATGACAGCGACGTTATACCGGAATCGCCGCAAATGCAAGCCAAAAATAAGGTACAGTGGTGTGTGCTTTTATTTCATGAAGTTTCTGGTTGAGCTTGATCCCCAAATGGATCTCTATTTCTGCCTCTTGTGCTTATCAGACTTATTTGAGCAGAGCAAAACAAAAACAAATACAAATATTTGTTTTACTCCTAGTATTTGCCGTATTTTATTTCTTGCGCTTTAATTTGTACGGCGGCCTCGCTAAAGACTAGCTAAGAAAAATTAACTTGGTATATACATTTGATTGAGGCCAAACCTGTTAAAAGTTTGCACTGTAACTCCAACTTTGCGAATGTTGTGATCGCCCACGAGCGGTAGTAATCAGAACACCAGGTGAACTGGCTACCCGTTGGCCACCCTTTCCTATAAAACAATGCAGATAAGTGTAGTCCCTATAGGTATGGGATACCGAAATGTAGCTAGCAACAGCCCCAACCATTACCAAAGCAAGAGCTTTTCATCATACTTTTTTTTCTCAGTCGAAGAAAACGCGAAGGAAAAGGGCGTTGTCCGACGACTCAGACGAGTCCTCGCCGAAGAAGATCCACAAGAAAGCACCAGAAAATGAACCTAGCAAGAAGAAGACAAAGCCTAGTGGGAAAACCCTCAAAGAGGTGAAACCGTCCGAACTCTTCGGCGGTGGATTGATAAAGAGGAGCGAGCCGCTGGTAAAGAAACCGAAAGCTACGGAAACGGGAATCCATTCGGACAACGAGTTCGAGCTGAGCTTAATCGAGCTTGATCAGATTGAGGAGATTGAGTCTGCTGCAAGCACTTCGGAGAAAACTAGAAGCGATAAAGGCACCAATAAGACTAAAGCCATAACAGATGAAACCACCGAAAGCAGCAAAAATAAAACGAAGTTTTCTGAAACGAAACCAGATAATAAAATCAATGAAACCGAAACAAGGGAAATTTCCAGAACGAAGGATTCAGATAAAAGCAGAAATAGGACAACAAAAGCAGCAGAGGATGGGGTCGAAATAGAGACAACAAATTCTAGAATAAAGGTGGAGCGCCAGTCGAAAGACAATATGATTAACGCGAAGGAAAGGAACAGTAGCAAAAAGGAGAGCGGTTCTCGTATCGATAAACTTAAAATCAACGGGATCGCTAAGGAAGCTTCCAGAACGGACTTTAGTCAGTTCATTGAAGATGCCGATGATCATAAACGGGAAGCGCCTAAAGGCAAAAAGCAGAAATTGGATACAAGTCTCAATGAATCAGGTATGTACAATTAATTATTTTGAATATTTTGTGTTTTTGATCTTGAAAGCCAATTATTGTTTATGCATTGCTACATGTTAATATAGTATCTGAACCCTAACAAGATACACTCTCAGGGTATAGTAAAAATGTGTGTGCTTTGAGAGCTTTGTTATTAGATCAGTTCAGGTTAGTATGTATAGGACATTTTGATATCTATAGTATGTCTGACATTTCACATAATATTGTGGTATTATGTGAAATGTCAGAAGTAAGTATGAACAATACTCAATTCAAAGATGTTAACAATTATTGAATGAACTTAAATTACGATTATTTATAATATTTTCTAATGAACAAATATAATTAAGGCATTTTTAGTTATTTTGATTAAAACTATATTTACAGTCCTCACTGATGAAGAAAGGCATGAGAGGAGAATCCATTCTGCAGCGTTGTACAAGAGTTACTTGAACAGATCAGGTCCAAAACATTTGGGAGAGAAAAAGATACCCCAGGTATATCTTTTTTGTGTACTTAAGAGCATACAATCATAATAATAAATGTTTCTGACATTTGATATACAATGTTATCAATTCCCAAACTAAAAAAGTTTAGTATGGATTCTTCATTACTGATAAACATACATAAAAAACCCTTTTCTTTTGTAACTACATATTATAGACCCAGATACTAGAAAACATTTCATGGTGCAAAATTTTATCCCAGTTGTGGGTATCAAGTAAAACCTGCAAAACGGATTCTGAACGGCGTTAGGGCCACGCAACAGTCTTCGCTGTTGCACAAATGGGCAGGTCCATCCATGTAAGTACCACAACCTCACCGAAGACCGGTGTGAAGTGGAAGTATTATACTGCATTTCGTCTGGTGACTGAGGTAGCTAGGGCCCCCTTTATTATAAGGAGCCAACGTATATGCAACACTACAGGTTATTGCAAATGCCAATGGACAGTGGTTATCACTTAACATCAGGTGAACAGCCACCTCGTTTGCCATTCTGTCATAATTGAAATTTGATTCACTATCTACAACGCAAAGCAGGGAGCTGAAATAATTCTTGGGTTTCAGAGGTGCTTAGAAGATGGGTTCAATCGAAAATTTGTCTCATCTCTATTTATTGCATATAACAAACAGTAGTTATCATAATCTTCATCATCATTTCAGCCCGTTTGAGTCCACTGCTGAACATAGGCCCTCCCCCCACAGACTGCCAAGAAGTATGATCCTGAATCACCTCACTTGCACAGTTATATCTAGCTTTAATATTATTAATCTTGTGCTAATTTTGATATAATTATTTCTTGTATTTATGCGAATAAACCATAATTTTCATATTTCAGGGTTCCCCCGACTGCTTGAAGGATTGTGCTTTCGTCTTGACTGGTGTACTGGATTCTTTCGAGAAAGAAGATATCGCCAAGGCCATTGCTAATTTTGGAGGTTGCGTGAAGAGCGCTGTTACCAAAAAGGTTTTCTTTCTACTAAGTAGAAGCTCTCTTGTAATAACTTAACTGCCTGAGTAGCTCAATGGTGGCACATTACCTACTGCTGTGGCACCCTGTATTTTCAGAGTTAGATGCCTCGATCCATAAACCTATACTCTGTACTCTTCAAATAATTTCTATTGTATGTTTATACAAACCATCTATTTTAACATTTCTTTTATAAAATCTTAATAATTTATCGATTTTGATTTATACTGTATACATATTGCCTAGTACTGATGAAGTTGTTAAATTTCTATTACATGCTTAACTAAACGGTGGTAGAGCCACGCAGCGGCCTCGGCTGTTGCATGAATGGGCAGGCTCGTCCGGGTAAGTACCACGACCTCACAGAAGATCGGCGTAAAGTGGAAGTATGACAAATACTTTCGCGTTTCGTCTGGTGAGTGAGGTAGCCGGAGCCCAATTTCCAAAAAGGTTGTCAATGCATCTGCAAACCCTCGGGTGAAGCAGATGTCCATGGGCGGCGGTATTCACTTAACATCAGGTGAACCGTCTGATCGTTTGGTAACTTTTCACATAAAAAAGAAAAAAAAAAAAAAAAAAAAAAAAACAGCCTTCTAGCATTTGTGCCTGGTATGATACAAAATATTAGCCGTGAAATGTCATCAATATGTCGTGAAATATCAATAGCTGTCCCTTTCTGACTCAAATGGGTAAAAAGAGAGAGAGAGAAGAAGAATAGGTTTTCCAATACGGTCCTCTTAAATCGCAGGTCACTCACGTGCTCGCCGGCGAGGACGCGGGACCGGCGAAACTGGCCAAAGCGCAAGAGCTCAACATCAAGATCATAGACGAGGATGAATTCCTGCAAATGGTCGTGGACCTAACCAACAAAAGGCCGATGGGCGAAGTGAAGCCGGAACCCGAATCGGCGAAGAAGAGACCGAAAAAGGAACACCCGAAATCTCCCACAGATAGTAAACAACCCAGAAGTCACAAAACAAATTCAACCTCTGCTATGGAAAAGGCGGGAAGTGAAATAAAAAAGGAGGTCCTGGTGGAAAAAACAGATTTGAGGGGTGACAAACGGAAGTGTAAATCCGAGGGAACTTCGGAGGTTATAAAAGAAGCTGATGTCATTGAAGCTAAAACTGTTGATAGGCAGACAAAACCGGAAAGCACCCGTATGTATCTAACATTCGAAATGTGAATGATACCACTCTCCCTCACCCTATCTTAGCATATCGTCCCTATATAGTGGTAGATGTTGGCTAGTTCGCCCGCAACCGTTTTACCACCATACATTCGCACCAAAAAATACTAGCCGGATGAGCACCGGAACCTTTTGTTACAGTATTTAATGCAGGGTTTACGTTTCGCAGCGTTGAAGACGGATCCGCAGACAAACTCTTCCATGCTGTGGGTGGACAAATACAAGCCGCAGAGCTCCAAGAGCATCATCGGCCAGCATGGACCGGCTAGTAACGTGAAAAAGTTTGTCTGTTTCCTTATCTTATATTAGAGTTTGTATTAATATCAGGTTTTCCTTTTTAAGCTGAAAAGCCAACACCCACTTCCTACGCACAATTTTATCTTAATCTTAGAAGAATTATTTTTACTTTGTTAGATTTTTGATGTTGCAGTTTTTGGCAGGCTCGTTTAAGATACCAGGGCAAATCATAGAATTCTTTAGGCGATACCAGGGCCTCATAGAAGTGAAAATTAACTTCCTGAAGACATTTTTTCCTGAAAAAAATACAATTTTAAGCAATAATAAAAAAATGCTTTCACTCTCAAAGCCATCTCGTAAACTTTTGAGGTATTATCATTTTTCGCTATACATTGGATTGTGTTAAAAATAACTTACATAACCGAAAATCACGATTGCACGGTGAAAAGCCAACGACTTTGTTTTTTACTATGAAGTGATCATAAAGAGCGAATTAATGATTGGGCAAGGAATTTTGCCCTAAAAACACTTGAATAATGCTTGTTATACAGAGAAGAGAAATGCTGTTGACTTATTAAGTTAAAGTGCTAATTGTTATTTGTCTGGATCGTGAGTGAACAAGATATATAATATTATTAGAATCCTTAATTTGTTTTAACGTACAAATTTTGTTTTAAGAGAATTGAAATTTATAGGATGAGAAGTATAGGAAGGAAGCAAATCATAGAGCGAGACAGCGAAGACAGCTTTGGACAGTTGCAGAATATATGATCTGTGGTCTTCTGTATGATGGATGTATTTATGTGTATTATGAGTAATTGGCATATCTATAGTAAAGAAAATATGCAATGGACATTCAGAACAGAATATGAACAATAGTTTTCATATAAAGGAATCCTTTGAAACGCAACGGACGTATATCGTATAGACTTTTGCCTCAATAAATCGTTAATTGACCAGGTGACCCGCATGCTCGTTTGCCTCCTATTCCCATAAAAAAAAAAAAATGTTGTCAGGTAAGACCACAACGGTGACGCTAGTGTGCAAGGAGCTCGGATTCGACGTCGTGGAGTTCAATGCCTCAGACACCAGGAACAAGGCGTTGATAAGGGAGCAGATCGGCGAGCTACTCACCACCAACTCCCTATCAGCATATGCACGAGGTTTGGCTTGTATTTGGAAAATCTTAGTTACGCCACGCCGCTTTTTTTTTGTTTCATGCCGACTGTACAAGTATTTTTTCATCACCCTTCATAATTATGTAAGCATGTCTTAATATATGTTTATATTAAAGCCAGATGGCAATTGCAACTGTCCCTATATATGATTATACTGTATAGTGATATATAACATGATTTAATATTATAATTATATCATTAAAAAAACAGATAATAAGAGCGTAGATTTTCTCTCCGGTTCTTCTCTGGACAGGTCAGTGTTCCGGTGGTAGTGTTTACTGTTCATTAAGCCTGTATTGAAAAAGAATCTTTGACTTTGTGTTTCTCGTCCCAGGTGACACCAGCAAGCAAGCCGTGACAAAGAAACACGTGCTGGTTATGGACGAAGTCGACGGTATGGCCGGCAACGAAGATAGAGGCGAGTACTTAACATATGGATACTTTCGTGAGGAGAATGGAGACTAAATAGTAGTATTAAATGCTTGACACATACAAACATTTATGTGGCATAAAAAACATGTGGCAATTATGCATGTCATTCATTTAATACTGCTTCTTTGTAATATTAACATGGTATTTTACTACACATTATTTTAGACATTATTTCGTGGGGAAGGGGTTGGATGGTAAGGTAACCCCAATGATCACTGTAGGACACCTAGAAAGATCTATTGCAGTCGTCCCTTCTAAAATATTACTGTAGGGTACAAAATTATATAAATTAATATATTTTCATGTGAACAAACAGCCAGATCCAAAACAATTATCTGTTGGTCACACAAATAGTTGTCTTGTGTGGGAATTGAACCCACGACCCCTGGCGTCGAAGCCAATGCCTTGGCAACTGCGTCACGGAGTCTATCTAATACATACATTATATATTTATCTACCAGAAAAGAAAGCAGTATAAATATTCAACGAAATATTCAAGTATTATTGATTTATAATGTAATGATATACTGAAATGAATCATTACATATAATTCCATAAGGTATAAAGTTGAGTATTTAATAATATAGTTTGTCCTAGCCATAAAAACTACAAAATTAATTTAGGTGGCCTTCAAGAGCTGATTGGATTGATCAAGTCCACCTCGGTTCCGATCATCTGCACGTGCAACGACAGGAACAGCCCCAAGATGCGCTCGCTGGTCAACTACTGCTACGACCTGCGTTTCAAGAGGCCCACAATAGAGCAAATCAGGGTGCTTCAGCGTTTATGTACTATTTGATTTTGTAAACAAACAATGCTGTATTACGCAATATTTCGACGTCGGTGATTGAAATGTTATAAAACTTCGGTGCGAAATCAGTGAAGACCGTAACAGGTATAAACACAGAATTTGAACAAATTTCCACGAGTAGTTTACCTTGTTGAAGAGTTTTCCACCCATTTAATTCGATTTCACAATCACCATTCAATCATTTATATATGTACATGTAAAAAAAAAGTGGACTTACATTATATCTTGCGTTTAGTTAACATTAACACCTGTTACGATTTCTTGTGTTCACGAGAAAACTGAAAATTTTTGAGTGAAACGAATTTACGGATTTACGAAACTCTGAAAAAAGTCGTATATCTATCGATCAATTATTAATCTGAAAAAAATCGTAAATAATTTATTTTTATCGATCAATTTTTAATCTGTGTCTGCTTCCAGTCGGCGCTGATGTCGGTGTGCTTCAAAGAGGGGATAAAGGCGCCGCGCGCGGACGTGATGGGCCAGATCGCGGCCGCCGCCGGCCAGGACGTGCGGCACGCGCTCCACCTGGCGTCCCTGTGGGCGGCCTCCCCCACCCCCACCCCCCCCCCCGCCCCCTCTGCCCCCTCCAACGGCAACCAAACGCGCCAAACCAAGGACGTCAAACTGGTACACACACTACCTTCAAGGTTCAGATGGGCAAACGGCTAGTCCGATTGTTGGCAACACTATACGGTTTAAAATCATTGAGTATCGTATGTACATGTGCGGCCCGCAATCCGTGTGAATTTTGACTAAATAATAAATATGTAAATAAAATATGGTTCACTTCATTAAAAAGGTTCTTATTGTAGTATTGATGATGGTTTGATTTTGACAAAGATGCCTTTCAAATGGTTTTTTTAAACTGGAAATTACTAAATTGGCCCTCCTAAGAAAAACTTTGAAACTCCTTAAGGAGCACGCCCTTAGTCGTCTCACTCAGCAAACAAACGCAACGGGCTTAATAAAATCTACCAACAAATCTAATAATCTAACTACAAAACAAATCTAACTACAAATCAACCAAAACCAGTCTGTTATTAAATGGTAAAGTAATATAGTGACAAAAAATCAGAGTACAACAGAAAATCATGCAGAAAACTTGGTAGTGTGCCATTCACCACATTAAGACGGTATTTTTTTTAAATCAAATTAATATCACAAAGTCAAAACATTACATCCAGGATAGCATGATGCAAATGAAATTGTTCATGACCATTCTATGTTCCCGGGAAAACAGCAGGTGTGCATTAAACATACCTCTGTGTACCCCGTTTGTGTAAAAAGATGCGAAAGAGACCACCTAAATGCTTGTAAATTTCAGGGTCCGTGGGAAGCGGTGAGAAAGGTCTTCACGGCGGCCGAGCACGCTTCTATGTCGATCAACGAGAAGTCTGACTTGTTCTTCTACGACTACAGCCTGGCACCGCTGTTCGTCCAAGAGAACTATCTGCAGGCCGTGCCACATTGTCCCAAGTAATTACAAATTCCTTTTTTCTTCTCTTTTATGTGAGAAGATGATAAACGAGCTGGTTCACCACATATTAAGTGCAACACCCGTAGCATTGCAGATGTCAATGGGCACCGGTTATTATATCGGTTTTTTTTTAAACTAGGCATTGCTCCACTACCACACCTGATGGTACTTACTGATGTAGTTGTTGTCTTGGAGACGCTCAATTCATACTCCAACGAAAAAAAAATTAAACTGCATTGATAGCCGCTGTTTCCGATCTCAGTAGCTGACAGTTAAATGATGGGTTAAAAAATCGTGCAAAGATAGCAGTTTTCGTTTACGGAAGATGCTATTTCAATTCGAAACCAATCACATGAAATTTTGCTTACATTATGAAAGAGTGAGTGAGTCGAGTGTTTACAAGTAAAACCTATAATTTTTTTTTTATTTGTCAAACATCACCTTTCATTGATTCACTGCATCCATGGACATAATTATATAACACCAATGTATGGGCCCAGCCACTGAAAGTGCCTCGAGACAAGTCATTAATCAGATGAAAAGCAAATATATAAACACTTGTTTTAACCTGGTTTTCTGTGAGACGGTATTACTCACAAGTTGGCCAATGCATTGGAATTGAATGCTGTGCAATAGCAACTATTATTAATATGTTCTTATCCTATCACACAGTGAACATTTGCTTTATTTTAAGGAACAAAGTATTGGAAAGATTTAGCATGGCGGCAGACAGCATCAGCATGGGCGATCTGGTCGAGGCAAGAATAAGAGGCAGCCAGTCGTGGAATTTATTGCCCACTCAGGTTCGTACAATTTTGTATCAAAATAGTAGTGTAATCAGCAAACAATATGCATGGGTGCTTTATTGCATTCGGTAAATCATTAATATAAATTAAAAATAGAAGTGGCCCTAGTACTCTACCTTGTGGGACTCCACATTTAACATAACTATACTGAGAGGTCTTTTTAATTTTAGTCGCGTTTAATATCTTTGTTATTTCGGTGCACTGCTTTCGATCCTTTAAATAACTTGTGATCCATTGTTGTGCATTCCCTCTTATACCGTATCTATACACTTTATCTATTAATTTGTCATGTTGAACAAGGACAGACAGTAAGTTTTCTTCAGCAACTTTTACTGTGGTAGGGCCACGCAACAGTTTTCACTGTTGCACGAATGGGTAGGTCCTTCCGGGAATTACCACAACCTCACAGAAGACCGGCGTAAATTAGAAGTGTTACACTTCTGCGTTTCGTTTGGTGAGTGAGGTGGCCGGGCCCCACTTTACTTAAAGGTGGCAATGAATTTGCAACCCAATGGTGTTGCAAGTGTCCAAGTTTAAAAAAAAAGCGCATGCTGTTAATGAGTGAACTACCAATATAACAATGACAAGAAAAGTATGCTTTCGATAGATGTTGCACGTTTTTCCTAATTCAAACGAGTTTCCCGCAGGCGATGTTCAGCTCGGTGATCCCGGGCCACGCGATGGCGGGCCACCTGAGCGGGCAGATCCAGTTCCCCGGCTGGCTGGGGAAAAACTCGCGCGCGAACAAGATGCGCCGCCTTGCCCAGGAGATACACGCGCACACCAGGCTTAGGTAACGTATCGTCCATCTTGAGGTTTTTCTTAATCTAGCTCGAGAGTTAAATGGCAAACACTTGCTTGGCCTCTTTTTTCTTATTGCTTTAACTACACTATCCTTTTTATATATTTCTAATGAAGTATGTGAATGTGTGCTGTCAATCTGTTTGGATGTAGGAACACTTTAGACAGATGATTTTGTATGTGTATACATATCTGCAGTTTGAAATACCATTTATTCATTTGTATTAAAAATGTGCTTGGTGTGTGTTTTTTCTGCGTCTCAACCAATACTACAAATAATTATAAGCGCATTAATGATAAAGTTCTCATTGCTATATATCTATCACAAAGTTATGTTGGTGTACTTTGTAAAAATGTTTATTTCTCAATATTCAACGTAAAAAGAAATAATTTGTTGAAACTTCCAGCACATCGGGCTCCAAGTCATCCATATTCTTGGACTATTGCACACATCTGCGCGATGCCGTCATCAGTCCGTTGATAAAAAGCAGGGCAGACGGGGTTGCAGAGTCCCTGCAAGTCCTACAGTCCTACCATCTTCTCAGAGAAGACTTGGATTCTCTGATAGAGCTCTCATTATGGCCTGGGCAGAGGAATCCCATGGTTTTAGTTGAGTCTAAGGTAAATATATTCTCAGTATAAAGAAGTAATAAGCAATGTTGTGATCTGACATCTCATCAATGACAAGGATATGCGGAAATAATGAACATGATTGTGGTTTGAATTTGTAATTATGGACCAAATTTAATAACTAACATAGTTCAGTAAATTAACTCTGTTTCTTCTTTAATTCTTAACAAAGTTAATTTTTTTGGTAGGTTCCAGTATTGTAAGCACAAAATTCATATGATAGAATCATATGAATTTTGTACATTCTTTATAATTTGTTCAGTTGTTAAAATTGATTAAATAAATGTGACGCTTCGCAAAAAAACCCAGAGTTGCAAAAAAATACGCGTGAATAGTGTAGCCAGGGCGCATTCAATTAAATCTTGGTAAAAGAATTGCAACACCTGAAGGTGCTTTACATCTTAGGGTGTCTGTAATCAGTTATCATGAGATCTGCCATGCCTGCATGCTTGGAACCTTAATGTATAAAATAAAATATAAATTAAATAATAAAAAAAACCCGACTGCGTTTCTGTGTATTTTTCTATTTTGATATACCCAGTGTCACTCTCACAGTAAATACGAATCTAACTACATCTCTGAAGCTAAAATCCATCAAAACATTCAGGCTGCAGAGTGTGCCAAACAATTATATATACATACTCTCGAAAAACATAGTTAAGTTTTTCGAGGGTATGTATATATAATTGTTATAATTGTCCTTCTGGCGCAGTCTCGTAATGAAATAAACAACGCAGGTAAAAGCGGCGATGACGCGGGCGTACAACAAACGGGCGGCCGCCCTCCCGTACGCGCCCCCGGAAGGAAAACGGACCGCGCGAGACGCCACCAACGAACGTCCAGAAGACAGCGACGCGGAGGAGGACGCATACGACATGATGCCGGATACCTCGTAATGGATTCGCTATAAAACCCGGTAAACCCCATTTGCATATAATCGGTAACGTGAAGAAATAAACGCATAACGATCATAATATCTAGCTTAGTGTGTCAAGGCTGTTGTTGTGTGCGGCCTGTTATTTGATGTATTGGTCATACTACAAAGAACAATCTTCACAATACAACAAATCGAATGGACAGTCTTCTACATTTACTACTAGTCCTTTTGTAAAGATAGTCTCTATATGGGCCACTGCTGGGCGAGGGCCTCCTCTATTGTATTTGTATTAGGGCATAGTCGAGTTGTTGTGTTAGTATCATGTTTAGGTTATGGTTATTACCACATAAAAACACAAATGTGACCCCTCTCTTAATTATGTGCAGCTCCCGCACAATTTTTCTTTTTCCCTCAACGCCCATATATAATTTACTCACTAAAGAAATATTTTATTTTCTTTCTTTATGTGAGATGGCAAGCGAGCTGGCGATTCACCTAATGTTAAATGATAACCGTCGCCCATGGACAGTTGCAACACCTGTAGAGTTGCAGGTTGCAGATGCATTGCCATCTTGTAAGAAAGTGGGCCCTACTTCACTCACCAGGCGAAGTGCAGAAGTGCACTTCTACTTCACGCCGGTCTTCCGTAAGGTTGTGGTACATACATACTTACCCGGACATAACTGCCCATTCGTGCAACACTGTTGCGTGGCCATACCACCGTTAAGAGTTATGAGAGATTTAAAATAAGATCACATTGTATTATTATATACATAATTCTTCGTCTTTTTATGTCACTAATATGTGGCTCTACCACATTTATAAATATTTTAGACTGTTGGGTTGTGGCATAAACATGCAGGGGCTATAGATAATTATACAGCGTGTCCTTACCATGGAATAAATGAACACACATAAAGAGGATAAATTTTTTAAATTGTATTAAAGATTTACATTCTTTAAACATCAATATTTACCGAGTTATAAAATTTTCCAAAACAAAGAATTTTAGAACACCCTTACGTATAAATCTTTAATGTAAAGGTCACAAAGCATATGAATGGGTTGAATGAATTTAAAAGAGACAAAACATACTGTTAGAAGGAGAGAGGCTTTGAATGCGGCGCTGTGGCAACGAATGAAAAAGTCTCTGAATGTATGAATCAGTGAGTTGTAGTTGTATAGGATGTTACAAATTTTGTTTGTTCTTTACTTAATTAGTTTGTTTGAAAAATATATTTTTTTTAATTATGGATTTTTTTAACATTAATATTTTTGTTTGATTATTGCCAAGTAGCGTTAGACGTGTGTTCATTTATTGTCGCGATGGTAACTACACGCTGTATATGAGGTCCATAGTTGTCTCTAAGAATCTATTTCTACTAGGAACCGAGAATTTACATAAAGTGGACAATCATGTTAAGAGTAATATATAGCATTATTGTCCACATAACAAAAATTCAATTATATTCTTAATACATGTCCCTCAAGCTTGTTTAATGCAAATGTATGGATTTATTTCAGCTATGGAAATTGGAAACAAAACATGTGGATGAAAATTTGTGATAATCTTAAAATTGCATTGTATTATCTACCTCAATTGTATTGTTTTCAGCTGAATAAATAGTAAACAATTGGTTTATAATATAAGTAAATCATTGAGTGGAAAAGGACCTTGTAATTTTTTTTATCAAGTTATATTGTCAATAGCTCACATATTTTTTTAAGTATAATAAAGGGCTGCTGAGCCCATCATTGCGAAATTGTTCTTTCAATTTTCCCATTGTTCTTACTAAAAAATGTTAATATCAATTTATATTTTGTTTTCATTTCAATTTTGTTTTATATTTTAAAAGTACTTATCAATATCAGTATTACCTTTTATATAGTGTTTGTAAACTCACGATTTTAACATTAATAAGTATTCAATAAGGTAGTTGCGAAAATGTAATACATTTTTATAGTGCTGATCTCTGAACTGAAGATGAAACATTACAATTTGTGAAAGCAAGTCTGCATTATTTAATAGTGAACATTGTTAATTGTTGAATCTTAATTGATTATGGCAATCAGAAATTTGTAGTAACTGGCTAAATAAGATTTTGTTTATAAGAGGACTACAAATTTTCATGGTTCCTCAATAAGGGTCATTGTTTTTCGTTGTAACCAGTTTGTTATTACCTATAATATTAAATGTTTGAGTTAAAGGTTATTTATTAGTTCTTATAAAACAACACTACTGTTCCCCATTGCTAGACTATGTGTTATTCAGCCATATTAAGCCATTCAAACAAAAAGCTGAAAGCTGATCTACATGTACTAATCCAAGGCTGTTATTTGGTGTTCCTAGTCAATTTAAAAACCTTTTATATTTACAAGAGCTTGGTCAGGGATAATAATTTAAAATAATTATATAATTATACTACACTGCGATGGCCAGTACGAGGCTGCCACTACAGAACCTTTCTTCCCCAACGGTTATCGGTTCTACGAGCTATATGGCCGGCCCATCGCCACTTCAGCTTGCTAATCCTCTGAGCTATATCGGTTATCTTAGTTCTACTGCGGATGTCTTCGTTACGAACTCTATACGCAGAGAAATACCGAGCATAGCCCGCTCCATAGCTCGCTGAGCGACTTTGAGCTTCCTCATACGGCCAGCAGTGAAGGACCATGTCTCGGTTCTGTAGGTCATCACTGGCAACACACATTGATTGAAGACTTTAGTCTTCAATCAATCAAGACTTTAGTCTTCAATCAATGTGACAACCTGTGCAAATGTGCGGGAAGTCGATGGATGCAGGTGGCTCAGGATCGTACTTCATGGCAGTCTGTGGGGGAGGCCTATGTTCAGCAGTGGACTCAAACAGGCTGAAATGATGATGATGATGATGATATAGCTATCTCCCGATGTCGAAAATATTTATAACTATCTCCTAATATAGATATCAGCTATAAACATTTGTAGTTGCCATAGTTGATGATAACATATGATTTAGTTAACATACGATGAAGTGTAGATATAAAATTATATATCAAACTTAAGATTATAAATATTACAAAATTACACTAACTCTTAATTTATAACAAAATATGTTCTACAAATTAAAAATTTACCAATTTCTATTGGATAGGTCACATGCATAGTGTTAGTAGGTACACCTTGTATTTGAACATTCAGAAGGTTATTATGATCAGTTGAAAAAAAAAATTGTTCAGTAGTTGGTAAAAAGTGTGATAGTGAAAAATTAACAGTAATTAAAAAAACAAATGGCCAGTTACTACATCAGACAATATTAGTATTAAAAATATGCCAAGTAAATAAATGGGCAGTATAAATGTAGGAATGGGCACTTACATTAATAATAAATAAATGGCCACTAAAATGTTGGAATGGGCAGTTAGAACAATAATTTGGCAGTTACAATTTCAAAAGGAGAAAGACTAAATTGCCAATAAAATTAAGAGTCTAAGTTGAAGTACTTATTCTTTATGCAAAACTATAAATTAACTTTAGGCAGGTGAAATTGATCATATAATAAAATAAATATTACTAAATTAAAATGATAAACAATAAAATAACAACAATCATTTAATTGAGTCTATTACATAATTAGTTACAAACAACTCTAGAAAGCATATTAATCTCTTCGAATCTTGGATACTCTAGGATCGTCGGGCCTCATGATCATATAAACCGATTTGTACCTTTTGTTGTCTCCGTCCCTTTTCACATAATTGTAGCAACCAATGGTACCTAAGGCAATACCAACAAGGGCAAGACCTGTGGAGGCAATAATTTCTGGAATTTCATTCCAACCCTGTTGAAGAAGTTGGCTTAAAGTCCGTCGCGAAGCCGGGAAAGCCATTTGCGTAAATTGTTAAACTTAAACAAAGACACGATTAATTATTCCACACCACTTCAAGTCAAGATGAAATTTTGGCTCAGTTTTATGATTTATCTAGGCATGGGCAAAAATATCGATATTTTTCCGTACAATTGTTGATATATATCGACGATATTTTTAATCGTGAAGTATTAATATTTGATACTTAATATAGAGTATCTATTTTTTTTACTCGTAATAATTCGTATCGACGAATAGTAATTAAAAGATAATATGTAATTTGTCATAGTTTTACGTCCGGTTTCTGAAACACTGATCATCGTAGATGTCAACTAATCAGCTGTCAAATGGTTTTTCAAATTTCATTTTATTTGCGAAAAGGATGGTTAAAATCTTTCAATTGATCATTCTGATCATAAAGAAGATCATTCTGGTCAATTCAGAGAGTTTAAAAAAGCCATTTGATTAATCTTGTGAATATATGAAATTATATAATAAATATATAAAATTCGTGTCAATTCCGATATATTTTTTTAACATAACTCTGGTTTCGTGTTTAATGTTACTAGATACTCTTCATGCTCCTCGCGAATCGTTTACTTTCAAATTCCCGCCACAATATTTATGAAATGCAATATGACAGTAAAGGGGCCCATTCACTATCCTGATTGGTAGTCCGCCGTACAGGACTGCAAAGCAGGATGTAGCCCACACACTATCCTGCAAGCCGTCCATCATAGTGTCAATGTTGTAATAATTATGGATTTACGTGAAGTATCGAAAAAAAAAAAAGAAAACAGCAATTCTGCTATGTTTTTTTTGTTGTTAGATAAAAGTTTTTATTAATAAATAACCTTTCCTCACATTATCATAGTAATATACATAAAATTTAAGTAATAACATGAGCTTTTATCAAGTTAAACTATTTCAATATAAAATAGTTTTTGAGCTTAGTTTAAGGTTATCAAATCAGTCGGGCGTCCCGGGATGCACACGTTTTCTTTTTGTCTATAATAAAGTAACTAGTCCTGTGTAGATTTTTTTCAAACCTGTGAATAAAATTTAATTTCTAAAAATATTTACAAAAAAAAACCTCCTAAATAATTTCTATTGAAAATATTTACTGTGTAATGTGCAAAAAAAAACTCCTAAGTTAGCATATTTTCGT